GATGCTGATGATGACGACTGTGATGATGGTGATGATGATACTGATGAGTAATATGAATATGATGATGCTGGTGGTGATTGTGTTGATGATGATAGTGATGAGGATGCTGGTGATGACGACGACGATGGGTATGATGATGACGACGAAGATGAGGACGAGGAGGACTACGAGGATGAGGATAATGATGTTGAGGATGAGGATGAGGATGAGGATAATAATGCGGATGAGGACGAGGATGAGGATGAATATGAGGATGAGGATGATAATGAGGATGATGATGCTGATGATAATGATGAGGATTCTGCTGCTGCTGCTGCTGCTGCTGCTGCTGATGATGATGATGATGATGATGATGATGATGATGATGATGATGATGATGATGATGATGATGATGATGATGATTGGCATCATGATGATAGTGAGGATGACGATATCGACGACGACGATGATGATCTGATGTTGATGTTTGGGATGAGTGGCAGGAGCAGGATGATGTTGCGTGGCGCAGCAGTGCTCTACCCTTCTCCCCCCCTCCCTCCTCGTCCTCGTCGTCGTTCACGTCCTCAGGCCCCTCCGCCTCGTCAATCAAAAGAAGGACATTATCTCATCGATACAGTCAACATCTGGTGAACGGGTGCATGACAGAACAGGGATAACTGATGTTTTCGCCGACTTCTATGGGTAATCGTATTTCCAACCTGGTGGGATGAGTTCCGCTTGAAGAATAATGGAGCAGCAGACGATCGTAGAGTACCTGGTTTTACGGATGAGGATATTGCTTGTGCTCTACGACAACTGACAGTGGAAGGGTTCTGGACACCAATGATGTAGCAGTGGTGATGTTGAAGTACGGAGACGAATCGCTCAGACAAGCCTTACGGAAGCTCTTAAATGACATCGTTGCCGATGGCGCCACCACGCCGCAGCAATGAAAACACTCCCAGATCAGCGCTACTTTCAAGTCAGGCGAGCCCGCACTACCGCAGAACTACTGTCTCATCTCAACGATCCCAGTCATATACAATTTATTGCCTCAATCACTATACAATCGATTTGAGCACATATTGGATGCAAGGCACCCCCCTTTTCAGGCGGGATCCCGGCGGCATGTTAGTACAGGCGATCATGTGTTGACGCTCGCCATTGTCCAGGAGAAAGGGACAATAATTTTGAATTCCACTGGCTTCCGAATTTGCATTTCAAGAAGCATTCGATATTTTGCCACACCAGTCCAGTCGCTATCGGAATAAATGCGAGCACTCGAGGTTGATCTGATCGCACGCATGTGCGCCGACCAGACTGCCTGCGTCAAGACAGATGTGCGCAGCAGAATCTTCTCGATCAGCACGGGTACACCCTCTGAGTCCGTTGCTCTCCATCTGCCTTTCGGAGTTTGTCTTCGGTGAGTGCTTGACGAAAAAGGACCGGCCGGCGCTACGGCATACTATTTGCAGTGCGCGAGCACGGTGGTCTCACAATTTTCGATTCGCGGACGAGTCTCTCGCGCTCGCCACGTCGCTAAACAACTGAAAAGTACAATCTCGGACGTGATATGTGTTGCACAACCCACTGGTTTGGAACTGCCCCGGGACGACGAAGACACGCAACAGCATTCGAGCCAAGAGACCTCGAAACAGCCCTCGGCATGTGGTTATCAACGGGAACAACACCGAATACTTGTTTTTTCCGCGACGCAGAAATATTTTGGACGTCAAGTTGTTTTCTGTGAGCGGACTACGGCAGAGTTTGAAGCCATAATCAAGGCGGTATGGACAACCAGCCTTTTCAAACAGGGGGTTACTACACGTTCGTACTCAGTGAAAGACCGGCTCCGACTATTCAGCGGCGCGGTTTTTCAGACGCTAGTTGATGTATTTGGCTCGTAGACATTTCCGCTGGAGTAGTCGCGGGTACGATCCAGGCCATGTTCATAATGCTTCTTGGGTCGCCACGACGCCGCGGTCCAGAAATGGCAAGATGAACAGCATTGCGACGGAACCAACACCACTGCGGACAGCGACTATGGCAGGAGCGACGCTCGCACCAACGCTGGCAGCACAACCGCAGCATCGCGCGTGTGCACATTCGCGGACCCTCTCGAGTCGTGGCTCGATTGGATTCAGCGCGCGACAAGGCATGCGCCTCCGTGTGCCCGCACGAATGCGTTCTCTTGCCCGGCGTCGGTGGCCACTTGGGCTCGGGCGCTCGGCCGTGTCAAAGGAACGGTAGGTCGCGGAAGCTGGCCGGTGGGCCTGCGCTTTCGACGCTGCGTGTCGCGGTGGGCACGGCGAAAAGTGCCGTCGCTGGCGCTTGAAATGCAAGCGCGCAGGAGGAGGGCAAACGGAACCGGGGCAGAGGGCCGTGGAGGAAGGGCGAGAGCGAGCGGCAGCGTTCCGTGCGACCCTCAGGGGTGGGGGCCAGGCCGCCGGGCGGGCAGACTCTTCATGTCTCCGAGCTCGGAGATGGGCGACGGGAATTGGCAAGAGGTCCGAGGGGGGCGCGTGACCGCGGGAATTGCGGCCGAGGGGGAACTGACGCGCGTGGCCAGGGAGGCCAGCGGCGCGGCCGGGTTCGCGGGCGGCCGCGCAGTCGCCACCAGCCCGGCGCCCGTGCCATTGCGCGCGCTTCAAGTGCCGCGGGGGCAAGCAGCGCGGCTTCGCGGGGTTTTGGGCCGGGCTGGAGACTTGCAGCCCGAGGTCCGGGCGGCTCAACCTGCGGGGCAAGTGGGGGAAGGAGTCGCCGACGCAGCAGGCCAGGGCCATCGCGCTCGCCGTGGATGCGGGGCTCGCGAAGCACAAGGACAGCTCAGTGGTCCCGCGCATCAGCCTGGCGAAGGTCTATGAGGCCGCCCTGGGGGGCGAGCGACTGGGAGCTGCGGTGGACTTCGCGATCGCCTTCGGCGGGGGCAATCTCTTAATGCGCGCGTGCCCGCGCTGCTTGGCAGCCCCCCTCGAGCCGGCGGCGTGGACGCGCAGTGTGGCGTCAGCGCGGATGGGCGAGTTGGGGGGGGGGGCGCCGCCGTCAGGAGCCACCGCGGGCGCGCGGTCGGAGGGGGGCGCCGACGCGCGGGGGCGCCGCGCCACCGCCTTCCCGTCGTGGCGCCCCATCGTCGAGAAGGGCGGCGTGGAGCTGGCCGGCGGCGGGGGGGGTCGAGCGGGCGCAGGAGCGCAGCCTGGTGGGCCGGGCGGAGATGGTTCACTTCGGCCGCGGCGCCCCAGGGCAGGAGGGCGCCCTGGCGGTTCCGGGGGCAGCCCAGCTGGCGCCCGCCGCCAGCGCCATGAAAGGGGGAATGTCAAACCAGGCGGGCCGTTGAAGAAGGGGCTCGGCGCGGCCGCGGGCGCCGTCGGCTCCAGCGGCGACGGGGGCCCGCAAGAAGCTATCAAGCGCGTGCCCGCGTTCTCGGATGAGAGGGTCACGCCGCGGGCGTGCTCTGGGATCTGCAGGCCCGTTCCCGCCGCGAGGACTCGCGCCTCTTCCGGGGCAATGTCGCGGGCGACGGCGGCGCCGTCTGCTCGCGCGAGAACTGTTCCACCATTCTGTCCAGTGCAGATCGCGACAGGGTGTTCGACTGTCTGCTCCTGTATTTCAATATCTCTTATTCCGCGGGCTGTCCGCAGACAGCCGAGACGGGCGCGAAGATGGGGCGGCTCGCGAGACTGGGGGCCGGCGCTCGACCGCCAGCGGATGGCCGCATGGGGGCCTGGTCGAGCGCCACGGCGCGCTCTGATCGGGAGGTCGACGGGGCCGGGCGAGGCGCTCGGGCGACGGCGGCGGCGGCGCCGCAGACGGCGGGTCGGGGCGGGCCGGCTTGAACCGCTCCCTTCCCGCTGCAATGGTCCTTGTCTGGGGAGGCCGCCCTGGGGGCCGGGCGCGGGCGAGACGGGCGGGCGGCCCGATGAGGGTCTTCGCGCCGCCGGAGCTCTTTGGCGCGCGCCTCGGCGCGGAGCCGTTCCCGAGGCCCGGTTCGGCCCCGCCTGGGGGCGAACCTCGAGGCGAAGAGGCCGACTGACAACCTGGGGGGCGCTTGTGCAGCGCCCAGGGCCGAGCCGAACGGGCGGCCGTCGGCGGCCCTCCTCGCCGAGCTCTCGGAGGATCGGGGCCCGCTCAAGGTGGCGTCGAGCTTGGAATGGCTACCGCGCGAGGGGGGCCGGGGCTCAGGCGACCCCGGCAGCGTGGAGACGACGGACTTCGACGTGCGTCTGGGGGCCCGCTTCCGCGTCGCCCCGGCAGGGGGGGGGCTCTGGCGAAGAGGCGGCGGCCCTCGAGCGGCTCGGGAGGGGGCGCCCGCCGCGCGCCGCGGGGCAGTTGCGGCGCGTGGCCGTTCGGAATGCATCCCCACCCCAGGGCCGTCAACTGTTCGCCGCGGGGCGCGCTCCGCGCGGTGCTCGGCCCCGCCGCGGCGCGGAGGGCCTTCTCCTTGCTTTCGGGGGCTCTCGCGCATCTGCCGCGGGCGGGGGCGCGGGTCCAGGAGGGGGGGGGGCTTCGACCGCGGAGGGCCCCGTGGAGACTGGGCAGGCGTCGGGGCCGCGCCTCGAGTGGGCCCCCGCGCGCGCGAGCGGCGCGCAGTGGCGGCGATGTCGTGAGAAGAAGGGGGAAGATGGAGCGAGGTGGGAAGGAGGTCGGACCCCAGACGCTCGCAGCGTCCGGGGTGGGGGCCCCAGCGCCCCCTTCTCACCTGCGGGCCCCCCCCCTTCCCCCATTAGTTTTAACTGGTGACTCACTCCCGCTGCAGAGAGGTGGCGTCGAGTTCCTGGGCGTGGCAGGTGCCCTGCTAAGAGGGCCCCGCCGCCGCCGCCCATGGAAGGGGCGCCCCCGTCATCTCAGCCACCCCCTGTTGTCGCTATCGCACTGCTATCGGGGCTCGTCGAGGATTCGCCCCCGCGTGCCATCGTGAATGTAAATCCTCTTCCTTGCCCGACGTTTGTGGTCATTTGGGCTCAGACGTTCGGCCGTATCAGTGTATCCCACCCGCAACCGCCCTGGGGCCTCAAGTTCCTCGGAGTGGCAGGTGCCGTGCGTAAAAGCCCTTCGGCACCGCTACCCATGAAATGGGCCTCACCGTCACCTCACTCATTTTTTTCAAATTGTTATCGCGCCGCCATTCGGGTTTATCGAGCATGCTGACGGATACTGTTGCGCCTTCGGGGATGAAGGTTGGTGCGCGTGTGGGGCAAGGGCGACTACAGTGGATATTGTTTGTGGTGGCGATCGACGACGACGTGGGCAAACAGAACCGACAAATTACATGATGGGGTCCAACCGCGACCAATGCGCGTACAAACAGATTTCCACACCGACCCAACAAAAGGGTGGCTTGACGACGTGGCAGAATTTATCCACGCAACTTCTGGAGAGGATTGACAGCCATTTCGCCGGATAGTATTGTGCGATCTCAAAATGGACGAAGTTTACGTGCAGCGACAACAACACATACAAAATTAATGCACCTGCCGGCCGAGTTCCTCTTCCTCCTTGTCCTCCTCCTCCTCCTCTTTCCCCCCTCCTCCCCCTCCTCCCCCCTTCCCCGTTCTCCCCCTCCTCCCCCTCTTCCCCCTCCTCCTCCTCCTTATCCTCTTCCTCCTCCTCCTCCTCTTTTTCCTCCTCCTCCTCCTCCTTTTCTTCCTCTTCCTCCTCATCCCCAGCGTGGCGAGGGTTTGTTTCTAGGCCACGGCGGACCCCATAGTGGTGAGGGGTTCGACCGCAGCAGGCCCCTGCGCGGCGAGGGGTTAGGCCACATAGGACCCCAGCGCGGTGAGGGGCTAGACCGCAACAGGCCCCTGCGTGGCGAGGGGTTAGGCCACGGAACACCCCAGCGCGGTGAGGGGTTAGACCGCAGCAGCCCCCAGCGTGGCGAGGGGTTAGGCCACGATTTTCCCCAGCGCGGTGGGGGGTTAGACCGCACCGACCCCCAGTGTGGCGAGGGGTCAGGCCACGACGGACCCCAGCGCGGTGGGGGGTTAGACCGCACCGACCCCCAGTGTGGCGAGGGGTCAGGCCACGACGGACCCCAGCGCGGTGAGGGGTTAGACTGCAGCAGACCCCTGCGTGGCGAGGGGTTAGGCCACCACGGAACACCCCAGCGCGGTGAGGGGCCAGACCGCAACAGGCCCCAGCGTGGCGAGGGTTTAGGCCACGGAGGACCCCTGCGCGGCGAGGGGCTAGGCCGCAATGCGCCCCAGCGTGGCGATGGGGTTAGGCCACAGCCCTGCGCCAGGCAAGGCGGCCGTGAAGGCCCATGAGTCCAGGGACCAGCGGCCAGGGCGGTCCCTGGGAGAGCGCAGAGCGGAGGAGCGGCTGCGGCCGTCCATCAGGCTGCTCCTCAAGCTCTGAGAGGGCGGCGGCAGCATTTCTTCAAACTGCCGCCGCTCACGGGGCGACTCCAGGAGTCATCGAGTGGCGGCAGCACGACGCCGTGAAATGAGGCCGCTTGCCCACCCCGCCTCGGGCCGTTCTGCCTGCGCGGGGTGCCGAGACCAGGGGCACCCACTCACGGGCGGGAACACGCGGGTTTAAAATTCCTCTTCCTCCTCCTCCTCTTGCTTTTCCTCCTCCTCCTTCTCCTACTCCTCTCCTCCTCCTCGTCCTCCTCCTCCTCCTCCTCCTCCTCCTCCTTCTGTTCCTTCTGTTCCTCCTCCTCCTCCTCCTCCTCCTTCCCCTCCTCCTCCTCCTCCTCCTCCTTCTCCTCCTCCTCCTCCTTTTCTTTCTCCTCCTCCTCCTCTTCCTCCTCCTCCTCCTCCTCTTCCTCCTTTTCCTCCTCCTCCCCCTTGCTTTTCTCCCCTTCCCCCTCCTCCTCCTCCTCGTCCCCCTCGTTCTCCTCCTCGTTGTCGTCGTCGTCGTCGCTCTCCTCTCCTTTTCCTCCTCCTATTAGTTTTCCTCTCCTCCTCTGCCTTCCTCCTCCTCCTTCCTCCTCCTCCTCCTCCTCCTCTTCCTCCTCCTCCTCCTTCTCCTCCTCCCCCCCGTCCCCTGAATGATTTTTTTCACAAATTGTCGGCGCCGACGCGCCACCGCTCCGCCCCTCGAGCGGCCGTCCCGCGTGACGTGGGGGCGCAGTGTTCAGTCTTCAGTGCTCCATTCCCTCCCCTTTAGCGCCATCCTCCCTCCATCTCCATCCCCTCTCCCTCCTCCTCGTCCTCTTCCTCCTGCTCCTGTCGGTATCACTGTTGGCCTTTGATCCTCGAGGGCTGCGACCATCCCCTTCCCCCGTCCGCCTTCTCCTCCTCCATTTCCTCCATCTCCGCCCTCCATCTCCTCCATCTCCGCCCTTCTCCCCTCCAGATCCTCCGCCCCCTCTTTCATGTCCTCCTCCTCCGCCCCGTCCTCCTCCTTTTCTTCCTCACGTCTGCTCCTCCTGCGCTGCCCGACTCTCAGAGGAGCTGGGCAAGTTCCTCGCCTCGAGGGGCGTCCACGTGCTCTCCACCGGCGGCACGGCGGCGAAGCTCCGGGAGTTCGGCTGCACCGTGCAGGCCAGGGCCTATATCAGCCAGAGAAGAGAAAACGACACACGTGGATGTCAGAGATTTCTTGGGTCTCCGAGACAGCAGTCGATTTCGGAAGTGCACAATTTTGGGCGACGTCCGGTATTTTCCCCTCGCTTGCTTTCTCAGCGCGACTCTGTGTTGCAGGGCGAGGCGCTCTTCATTCGGCAGCTTGATGCGGTTGTCGTGCCAACGCGTCCTGCTGGATGTGCTGGTTGTGTGTGTGTGTGTGTGAGAGAGAGCTCCTGTGCAAGCTCCTCGACACCGCCTGCACCCCGGGCCCCGCCCTCTCCGGCCGCCTGAAGCCCCGCCCGCCTGTGCCCTGTCTCCCTAATTAGAGCTGTGCGTAGCCCGCCTAGCTTGTAGCGGAAGAGGTTCGCTCTCGCCCCGCCGACCAAAAGTGTGTGTGAGAGAGAGAGATGAGGACGAGGCGTCAGTCCAGTTGCGCCTTCGCCTCACGTTGGCCTTCCTGGGCCATCTGGAAGGCCCTCGTCGCCAGGTATGGGCTCGCCCCCAGACATCCTGCTCAGGACGGACCCCCAGGAGAGGTCCACGGCGTCGCGGTATCGGTATCTTTGGGTTTCCCCAGGGTCGGCGCTGGGCTTAGGTCGGGCATGTCCTCCTGCAGGCGGATTGTGGGCACAAGACACAGAGTAAAAACATATTCAAGAAAAGTAAAACAAGTCATAACGCTGGGCCAGGCCCTTCCCTGGCGCGCTCCGAGCGGGAGGGGCGGGGTCCCGCCGCCGATCCAAGCAAACAACCCTGCGAGCCTCTGACGGCTTCTTGCTCCTGGGTCGTCCTTTTTTTTTGCCTAGATCTGGCCGCTCCGATCCAGTGTCGGTTCTGGTCGGCTCGGTCCGATTCGCTTCCGATCTTCAGACGATCTGATGCGGCTCGGCGCTTGCGCGGGCGCGGCCGGCCCGGTTCGGTCTTTGCTCCGGGCCGGTGCAGGTCGATCCGACGCATCTCCCGATTCGGTCCGGCTTCCCGACTCGATGCTGACTGCGCAGTGCAGGACGTGGCGGACTACACCGGCTCCCCAGAGATCCTCGACGGCCGCGTCAAGACGTTGCACCCCAAGGCAGGATGATGAGGAGGAGTAGGACCAGTGTAAACTCGAGACCCATCAAAGATGTTGCAGGGAACCCTCCTTCCAAGTTCCTTCTGATAGGTTCCTGTGAAGACTGTTCATTGCGGGAAGTTCCCCGTTGGAAGACAACCGTTGGTTGGACATCTTCAGCCGTGCCAAAGCACCATTCCTGGGACATGAACGCTGCGAATCAACATTACGGTTGCGACCTGACGATCTTAATTCGTGTCAGAGCACCAGGTTTGGGACTTCAACATCGCGAAGTAACGTGACTGTCGCGCCTTGACAATCCGAAGTCGTCCCAAACGCAGTTCCTGGGACGTCGACCACAATAATCTTTGAAACTGCTGTAAACTGTTAAGACGAGTCTGCGCGGCGCTATGGCGAGAGCCACGTTTTGGAAAGGACCCCCCCTCCATCCGTGAGAAGCTCTTGCTGACTTTCAAAACGAATGCGGGTGGCGCTGCGGCGGGAGCCACCTTTTGAACAGGAGCCGCCCTCCATCCGTGAAGCTCGTGCCAACGTCTGAGACGATGGTGGGCGGCGCTGGGGCGCGCACCACACGTCGAGAACGGCCCGCCCGCCATCCGTGAGTCTGTTCTGCGATCTTCTGCGACGGACGTGGGCGACGCTGAGGCGAGCGCCGCATGCTGCAAGCGACCCGCTGGGCAAGGAAGTCTCCGGCGAAACGCCCGGCCCGCTCTACCGACCCGTGTCGGGGTGCGACAGGGATGGAGCACAGTTATAAGGGACAGAGACGGAGGAAGAGAAGGAGAAGGAGGAGGAGGAGGAGGAGGAGAAGGGGAGGAGGAGGAGAGGAAGAGGAAAGGGAAGAGGAAGATCAACAGGATGAGGAGGAGGAAGAAGAGGAGCAAGAGGAAGAAGAGGAGGAGGAAGAGGAGGAGGAGGAAGAGGAGGTGGAGGAGGAGGACAAGGAGGAGGAGGATGAGGAGGAGGAGGAGGAGGAGGAGGAGGAGTGAGGAGTGAGGAGTCAGGAGGAGTGAGGAGGACCCAGACCTCCTCGCGTCGTGCAACAATCACGACGGAGCTGGTTCTGCAATTTTCGGCCTCTGAGGGGTTTCGCCTAGCTCAGGGGCCCTCAAACAAGGCTCAAGATGGCAAGCCTCTCCCTGGGGTGGGGCCCAGAGCTCCCGCGGGCGTCGTGACAACAGCTCCGACACCGGAGGTCTTGGGAGGAGGCCCAGAGTAAGCGCAAGACGCGTCAACGACGTTGCAATGCACCTTACCGCCCCAAGTCCCCTCCTCACAGGTTCCTACGAGCATCCCTGCTTACCGCGCAAAGCGCCCCCCCCTTCGGACGGCGGGCGCCCCGTGGGCCGGTACTTCGGGCGGGATCTGCGTGTTGACGCAAGCCGCCTTCTGCCGCCCCTCGAGTTATCAGCACAGTGGCAGGGTGGGTTTCAGCCTTCGTGGAAGTGCCCAGTGACAGCCGTGCGTTCCGAAGGGATCGCCCTGCACCCGTGTAGCTCTCGCGCAATGAAAGCTTTGTGGTCTTAATGTTAAGCCAGCGTGGGCCCCAAACAATATGTTCCAGCATTCTACGTTGTGCACCCTCTGTGGGGCAGTCTATGTGGTGTAATCTGCGTGGTGCAGTCTTTTTTGTACAATACATGTTGTGGAATCTTTGCCCAACAGTCTATGTGGTGCAATCCATGTGGTGCAATCTGTGTGGTGCAATCTTTGTGGTGCAATATATGTTGTGCAATCTATGTTGTGCAACATCGCTGCCGCAATCCATGTGGTGCAGCCAATGTGGTGCAATTCGCTTGCCGAACTTGAAGTTGTCAACACCACTACTCGCGCAATCATCCCACCCACCCACCCGCAACTGGGTTCGCAAAACCCATGCGGAAGCGATTGCGATGAGTGCTGGGTGTTGGCTGGTGCATCTCTGCGGCCGCGCTGGCCCGCGCATGTTCGCGCGGGCAGCGGCCAGCTTACTAGGCGCGACCGATGCGAACGCGGTGGCGCTGACCGCTCGGCACATCCCAGCGGGCTCTTCAGTGCGAGTCGGCGACTTGGGCGGGCGCGGTATCATGGCAACGCCGACAACGGTAGACACGATGATGATAGTAGTGATGCTGGTGACGATGCTGACAGTGACGACGTCGCAGCCAGTGACAGCGCCGATGCTGCTCACGCCGGCGACGATGACGGCGTCTTCGCGTCGGTGATGAAGGTTGTGGAGGAGTTCGAAATGCGCGCGCGACAGACGCGCGAGAGTGGCCCGCATGGTATTATTCGAGACGGATCGTGCCACCCCAGCACGCGCGCAAGGGCGTTCGAACGATTTCGACATGTGCGCGCGAAGCCCGTTTGGTAGCATATAGAACACATTTTTTGTATAGTAAGAATTTGCAAGAACGCGCATATTCTTGTTTGGAAATCCTTTTTGCGAAACCATTTTCTTATACATCCTTACGACGCCGAGGGTTTGGTGAAGGTTTTCGGCATGCGCGCGACGACGCGCGCGTGTGCACTTTTTTTGTTTTTTGCAAGGGATCATTGAACACTGGTGATGTGTGATAATCGAGTGTGCGCGCATAGTAGTTTTTTGGAGAGGATGGCGTTGGGGGCCGATACCGGTTGGGCTGGCATGGTACGGGCTCATATTTAGGATGGGCGATGGGGCAGGGACGAGTGTAAATTCTTTACGCTTCGCGTATCCCCACCAGCCCATCTCACAGCAGCAAGTCTCGCGAAGCATGCCGACAGTCGTGTTTTTCAGGCGTGTGTCCGCTGGGCCCCGCATGTCTCCCCTGTTCCTCCTTCCTCCCGCCTCCTTGTACATCCTCCTTGTGGGGGGAGCGGGAGAAGGACGAGGCGGAGGAGGAGGGAGAGAAAGCGCTCCTCGTGGTTTGAGTCGTTTGGGGTTTCTCGTCCTGGTGTGAGTCGTTCGGGCCCTTCTTCCTGGTGTGAGTCGTTCGGGCTCTTCGTGGTGTGAGTCGTTCGGGCTCTTCGTCCTGGTGTGAGTCGTTCGGGCTTCTCGTGGTGTGAGTTGTTCGGGCCCCTCATCCTGGTGTGAGTCGTTCGGGCCCCTCCTCCTGGTGTGACTCGTTCGGGCTCCTCGTGGTGTGAGTCGTTCGGGGCCCGCGTCGTGGTGTGAGTCCTTCGGGCTCCTCGTGGTGTGAGTCGTTCGGGCGCCTCGTCCTGGTGTGAGTCGTTCGGGCCCCTCCTTGTGGTGTGAGTCGTTCGGCCTCTTCGTGGTGTGAGTCGTTCGGGCCCCTCGTCCTGGTGTGAGTCGTTCGGGCTCCTCGTGGGGCCTCTTGGGGGCCTCTTGGGGGCGTCTTGGGGCCTCTTGGGGGCCTCTTGGGGACCTCTTGGGGGTATCTTTGGGGCCTCATGGAGGCGTCGTGGTGCCTCCTGGGGACCCCTTGTGGGCCATCTGAGGACCTCTTGGGGCCATATGGTGGACCTCTGGGGGCCCTCTTGGGGGGCTTGTATGAGCGCTGCCCCTCCTCCTGGTGTGACTCGTTCGGGCTCCTCGTGGTGTGAGTCGGTCGAGGCCCGCGTCGTGGTGTGAGTCGTTCGGGCTCCTCGTGGTGTGAATGGGTCGGGCGCCTCGTCCTGGTGTGAGTCGTTCGAGGCCCGCGTCGTGGTGTGAGTCGTTCGGGCTCCTCGTGGTGTGAATGGGTCGGACGCCTCGTCCTGGTATGAGTCGTTCGGGCTCCTCCTTGTGGTGTGAGTCGTTCGGGCTCTTCGTGGTGTGAGTCGTTCGGGCCCCTCCTCCTGGTGTGAGTAGTTCGGGTCCCCCCTCCTGGTCAGAGTCGTTCGGGCCCCTCCTCGATGTGTGAGTCGTTCGGCGAGGGGCCCGAACGACTCACACAAGGAAGGGCCCGAACGACTCACACCAGGGCGAGGGGCCCCAACGACGCACACCACATGCATTCTGGTCCAGGACGTCGCCGTCGTGTGAGTCGACAGAGCCGGTTACGTGTAGGACTCGAGGGCGACCGCCTTCTGTCTTGCCTCCCATCGCCTTCTCTCCCTCCTCCTCTTCCTCCTCTTCGGCTCCTAGTCGTAGTAGTAGAAGTAGTACCAGTAGGATCAGTTGTAGTACTGGTAGTGGTAGTAGCAGTAGTAGTAGTAGTAGTAGTTGTAGTAGTAGTAGTTGTATTGTAGTTGTAGTTGTAGTAGTAGTAGTAGTAGTAGTAGTAGTAGTAGTAGTAGCAGGTAGTTAGTAGTAGTAGTAGTAGTAGTAGTAGTAGTAGTAGTAGTAGTAGTAGTAGTAGTAGTAGTAGTAGTAGTAGTAGTAGTAGTTTAGTAGTAGTAGTAGTAGTAGTAGTAGTAGTAGTAGTAGTAGTAGTAGTAGTAGTAGTAGTAGTAGTAGTAGTAGTAGTAGTAATGGTAGTAGTAGTTAGTAGTTCGTAGTAGTAGTAGTAGTAGTAGTAGTAGTAGTAGTAGTAGTAGTAGTAGTAGTAGTAGTAGTAGTAGTAGTAGTAGTAGTAGATAGTAGTAGTAGTAGTAGTAGTAGTAGTAGTAGTAGTAGTAGTAGTCTTGTAGTAGTAGTAGTAGTAGTAGTAGTAGTAGTAGTAGTAGTAGTAGTAGTAGTAGTAGTAGTAGTAGTATTAGTAGTAGTAGTAGTAGTAGTAGTAGTAGTAG